TTTTTCTCTCTTATTTTATTTAAAATGTTTTACTATTTTTTTAAATTTTATTAGATTTCAAAAAAAAAGAAGGCAATATGTAATTTCTCCTAGAGCTCATACTGCTAGCTTGAGTTTTCAGATTTATTGAAATTGTAGTTAGATTTTTTTTTTCATCCACTGCAATTAAAGCTTTTTCCCATTATTATTTTTTTTGCATTTAATGCAATTTAAAAATTTTTAGCAAAAATTCTAGAAACTTTAAATATAAAAACAAGAAGTAATATATTTTTTTAATAATTTCTAAACTATAGACATGTTACATATGTCATACAACTAACTTTTATTCCGCTTTGTTAAAATTGAGCTTTATTTCTCGTTTTTACACAATTCTAATAATTTTTAACTTTTTTGTAAACAAAATCCATTACTAACAAGAAAACAACTAATTTGTTTACACTTTTTGTGTTGAATTTTTAATGAATTTCAAAAAAAAACCTTAAAAGTAATAATATCTCAGACTAAGGGCCAGTTTCATAATCGATTTAAAGGGTCTTTAAAATTAATGTTGGTTTAGAATATCAAATTTTTGTCCATAGTAATCAGCAATTCTAAACCAACATTAACTTTAAAGTGCCTCTAATTCTATTATGAAATTGGCCCTAAGGCCAGTTTAATAATGGAATTTAAAGGAGCTTCAAATTAAATATTGTTTAGAATGTGCTGGTTACTACGAACTTCTTGACAAAAATGTCACATTTTAAACCGACGTTAATTTTAAAGTTCCTTTAATTAAATTATAAAACTGGCTCTAATTCATAAATAGCAAAATAAAACGTGATACATATCGTTGCACGTTTGCAGCTAATACAGTTTTCCGCTTTGTTGAAATTGTGATTAAATTTATTTGAGCTTGATAAGTTATTCAAAGCTTCTTTCTCTTGCTTTTTTTGTAGTACCTAATTCTAATTATTTTTGCTTCGTTTTAAACAAATTAAATATCTTTTCATTTTTTTGTCGAAATTTAAAAAAATAACAGAATACATTAAAATGCTTTCTCAAACTTATCAAGGAATTTCTCAAAAGAGTTAAATAAAATTGTAATTAGGTAGATTTTTTTGAGCTTGTTGTTTTTTTCTTTTATTTCTTTTGTATAATACAAATAATTTGCACTGCGTTTTTAGACAAAATTGAATTTTATTTTTGATTGTTTCAGACGCCCAGAGCCACCTGAACCTGTTCAACGGCCGCCAGCAGCCGAAGAAGAAGCGAAAATCGCGGACGGCCTTCACCAACCACCAGATTTTCGAATTGGAGAAAAGGTTCCTTTACCAAAAATACCTCAGTCCTGCCGATCGCGACGAAATCGCCTCCAGCCTCGGCCTGACCAACGCCCAAGTCATCACGTGGTTCCAAAACCGGCGAGCCAAGCTCAAAAGGGACATGGAGGAGCTCAAAAAGGACGTCGAGAGTGCAAAACTGCTCACAGCGCACAAAAGCTTCCTCGAAAACGTGCAAGACTTGGGGATTTTGAAGAAGAAAACCGTGATCAGTGAAGACGACTGTCCCAAAAACTTGGTGGTGACGACGGAAAAGTGAGACTTTCCGAACGAGGTGTAAATACTGTACATAGTTTTTGTGTTTGTAAAAGTTGTAAAAATTATGCTAACATGTAATTAGATAATTTATTGAAGTTTTTCGTCTATTTGACGGGTATTTGCAATATTTTAATATACTTAAAATGTGTACTATATAGAGCTTTAGTACTTAAATCTGTCCTAGCGTCAATGTGGATGAGAAATAAACATGTACGAAATATGAAATGCCGCTTTTATTTCAGTTTGCCATCACATATTTTCAGCTGCTGTTTCCGGTCGTGGAGCAATTTGATACGAGGGAAAATAACACTGTTTCCGCTTAATAATAATTGCAAAAGACGCCTTATCACGTGGCGCATCACCGACTCAAATTAATAAATATTTTGGGGCAAAAAAAGGTAGGTAAGTATCCACAAATTTTTCAGGTTTTTTAAATTTCAATTTTATTTTCATCAAATTTAAAGTTCGAAAAATGTATTCTTGATTTAAATCGTTTCAGATGTTTAAACTTTTTTATTGTTTTTTTATTTGTTGATACGATTTAAGTCTTTATTATCTTTCTGCGACTTTTGCTTTAATGATTTATAAAAATTTTAGAAATTTTTAGAAATCAAAACCATTTGTAATTTGCAATTTTGTAAATACAGCAAGTTATTTTACTGAAACCATATCAGCCGAATCACCCTGTACAAATTGACAATTAATAAAAAACCTTCAGTTAGGTATTTTTAGATCAAATTAAAAAATTACTTTACCTGTAAACAGAAAATAATTTACGTCAAGCTTAATTTTAGAGGTGATTTAAACGATCATCTTATCTGAATCACTTTGTATACTTTGACACATGTCAAAGAACCGTCTAATTAAGCATATTTGAATAAAATCTTGTAATTTTAATTTAAAAACTGCAGCACATTTGCAATTTTGAGACAACTACAGAGTGATTCAAGGCACCTTTGTGACAAATAAAACGTACATTTAAGCGTTTATTAGTTAAATTTTGGAGATACAGGGTAGAGGCAACTCAACAAAAACATTCTGTACATTTAACAATAAATCAACATTTTCAGTTGAAAAATTCTTGTTTTATAAAATTGTAAGTTATTTTGCTTAGGAATAAAAATAATTAATGTCAAAATATTTCGAGAATTACAAAGTGATTCAAGTGAAAATAGTCATGGTTGCATTGTTAAAACAAATAAAACATGTGCATTTATGCTTTTTTGCTTTCAGAGTCACCTCACCCGAATCATCCTCTACATTTTGACAATAGTTTAAGAAACAGCCAATTAGAAGTTTTTTTAGATATAAAAACAAAGCACATTTGTAATTTTGTTTCCAAATACTTACTACAGGGTGATTCAAGTGGGAATAATCGTGGCTGCACTTTATTGACAAATAAAAATGCACCTACATTTATGCATATTTGGGGAAATCACCCCAGAATCACTTTGTACTTTTAGACAATAAATGGAATAACGTATAATTAGACAAATAAGTAACTTCAAAATAAAGTTTGTACAATGTACATCAGAAGTAATTTCAAAATTTCTAAGAGGTACAGGGTGATTCATGTGAAAATAATTGTGGTTAAAGTGCATTTATTTATTTTTAGTGCAATGCTGTATTTACAGGGTGTTTTAAACGAAGCCACCTCCGCCAAATAACTAAGAAAAAAATGGATTTTAATCAAAAAATTAATTCAAGTTATCTACAGGGAGTTAAAAAAAGATTGTATGAACCAAAATAAACAAATATGTCTTATTAAACATAGGTCTGTAAGTAATAGTTTCGGAGAAATCGAATGAATACCTAAATTTTTAGAATAGAATGGAAGCTTCTCTTTTTTGTTCGAACAAATTGCAAATAAATGTTTAAAAAAAAACGAATAATTTTCCATATCTCCAAAACCGTTACTTTGCAGACCCATGTTTATTAAGACTTTTTTGTTTTTTGTGGACTGTTAGCTTCTGAAATATTTTACATTTTTTTAACACCTTGTATAGGTAGGTACACTTAAATCAATTTAAAATCCAAGCACTTTAATTTATTTGTAATTTGAATTATGGAAGAAATAAAACACGTTTAAAAAACGTAAATATTTTAATTGTTCTGATGAGGGCTTTTTTCTGGTATCGAAACAGAATTCGAAAAACTTTTATTACTATTGAATTTAAGAAAATAAAGTGAAAAGCACATTTTTTTGTTTATTTATAATCCGAATTATGTGTAATTTCCTGATGATGGGTTCCCGAAACTGGTTGCGAGGAGTTCCAAAAATCGTTGTGGTGCTTTTGTTTCGACGCCTTGAAATTGCAAAACCAATATTTTTTGTTTATTGAAATTCAGAGTCCGCCCCTCGTCGGCACTCTGCCATTGTGACATTTTTTGCGAGGTCTGTGCCCTTTTGCGGTGCCCAAATCCCGTCAGTAGGTGTTCGCGGCGTCCGAAATTAGAGAGCGGCTTGGGGGTATAATTTGAAACGATCAACTCGTGCCCATTTGTCTAGTTATGTCGTTATCTGGACTAATGACAGGCTCCCATCTCTAATTGCGATATAAGACACCGCCAAAGGTGAGACCACCCCTTAACCCGTCGTTTAAGCCATCGGATTTGACACCGGTGTGTAACACCCAACTCCCAGCGGAATTCTCAAAGGTCGGCCCACTCAAAGCCACAATCAAAGCATTTTACGGTTTCGAATCAACTCGTTAGCGCTAATTATACGCGAGATCAATTAGCATTTTGATGAAAAAACAAAACCAGGTTTTTGTCGGTCTCTCATATGTACTTAAATTTTAAAATATATAGCGAGGTAACCGGTAGACCAAACATAAATTTCCACTTAACTCGGGGCTTTTTTTTAATAAATTTAATTAAAAAGCGGGAGCTAATCGTAATTTATGAAAATCTACGTTTTTACGGCGACTCCTAACGAACGAATTTTTAATAATTCCCCACGTCACGTGACTTTTAATTTATGTTTTCGGTTTTTTATTGTTGCGACATTGTAGCATCCCTCATAAAAGCGGCGTTTTTCGCACCGACACATTCCCTAATACCACCCGACACTAATGGCCCATCATTTGCTAAATCGATAAATCAACGATCACTTACCGCGTTGGGAGATCGCGGACGGCCGCGCCGTTGCCCCGAGTGACGTCACGGCCTTTCATTAGGCAAGTGGCTAGATTTATGTGTCGGCGAGATCAAAGACGGCTAGGTGTGAGACCAATTGTTCCCGTGACAAAACACTGCTAGGTAATTTACGGTGCACTTCAATGGCGACTTGATCGCCACAGACCAGACACCAAATTGCCAACTGAGATGCTATACAATTCCGATTTCGGAACCAATACTTTGTTGCGTTTTATGTAATTGTAATGTATATTGTGATAAGTGGGCTCTGGCTTTATTACATCGTAAATTAAAATGAGGGAATTGCCCTTTATGGCCGATTCCTACATGTAATCACGTGGAAACCATCGCTGCCAGCAGTGCTAGCAATAGAAACAGAGATAGATTATGCAACACACTATTCAATTTCAACATTCAAAATCAGAAATTTCTACAAAAAATAAAAACTAAATCATCCACTTAGCGTTTTGCTCAGTCTAGTCTAAATAAATAAAAAGTTTTAAAGATCCATCTAAACTGAGCCAAAACTTCGAGCTACATTATTAAAGATTCGCTCAGTCTGAGAACATTCAAAATCAAAAAAATTTTCAAAAAATAAAACTTGAATGATCTACTCAGCGTGGTGCTTAATTTAATCTAAGTAAATAAAAAAGTGTTAAAAATTTATGTAAACTGAGCCAAAACTTTGCATAAGTAAAAAGCTACATAATTTAAGATTAGCTCAGTTTGGAAACATTCAAAATCAAACATGTCTTTAAAAAATAAAACCTGAATTATCCACTCAGCGTTTTGCTTATTTTAATCTAAATAAATAAATAAGATTAATAAAAAACATTTAACAAAATTTAGCCAAAACACAAGTAAAGAGCTTAAAGATTAGCTCAGTCCAAAAACATTCAAAATCGGAAATTTCTACTGAGTAATAAATAAAATGTGTTTAAAATTCATCTAAACTGAGCTAAAACTTTACGTTAAAAGAGCTACATTACTAAAGATTAACTACATAACAAGATTAACAAAAATTTAACTTACAAAAACAGAAATACAATTTTTTTGCTCAAATTAAACTCACTAAAACTTAGAATGCAATTAATTTTGGTCCTGGACCCCATTTTTGCTCACCTTAGATAAAAAAATACTTGCTCATATTTAAACTGAGTTCTACTTAGTTCAAAGAAAGAGAGCCCTTTCTTGACACAATTACTTAATAAATAATTATTTAGTCCAAGCTCAAAGAAATCAGAATCCATTTGCTCATATAATTCTTGTTTTTTTTTAGATCAGATTAAGTAAGAAAAATATCAGTTTGTTTTGACGTAAGTATTTAAATATTTGTTTAAACCAATTTTTTCCATATCTCAGATTTAAACTCAATTTTAGTTACACGGCTTGTTTTACATACTTATAGATTTATGTGCTCAAAGATCAGAATAAGAATTATTCGTTTAAAATATACTTATTAGTTTTAGTCAATTTTTTTGCTTAGTCTAAGAGTTTTAGAAACGTCAATTCAGTCTGAGATGAAACAACTGAGAACAGAATTAGAAATCTGTAAAATTAAAAACAATACTATAAGCTCAGATTTAAAAAATAATTATGTTTTTACTAAATTCCCAAAAATTAATTTTTTAGTTATCTACCCTAATTTTAATAAATTAAAGCTTAGCCAATAAACAAAAATGGGAATTATTGGCTATTATTGACTCAATTTAAAAATATAAACTCCACTCAGCTCAAAATAAAATTTAAACATTTATTTAAAAATATTGTCATTGTCTTAATTAAAAACTACTTAACTGCACAGTTGTTACAAAAATATAAAAAGAATTTAAAAAATTAAATTTAAATTCTTGCCATTTTGTTATCAAAATAAACCATTTGCTCAAAAAACATAATTATGCAGATTATTTTGACTTATAACATTGGTGCTCAGTTTTAAAACTATACTAAAATCTAGACACATTTTAACTTAAAAAAAAGTCAAATCAAATTTTAATTAAACAGTTAAATTTTTTGCTCAGTTTAATGTTTACAGTTTTTAGTTTTAGAAAAAAAGTAGATAGA